TTGGATGTTGATGCTTGCTTTTCTCCTAGGGATGAATCTTGATAAGGTACGGGATGGTTGTCTGTTTAATCATGGATGATCCAAGGGTGGTTGATTCGAAGTGGACATTATATCGATTCGTATAGGTTCTTTTTGTCTGCATTTGAAGAAGATTAAATTATAAGTAAAACAATGATCCATGTGTGACAAACGGTTCATTGATAAGTTTGTCCAATCCTTCAGAATATTGATTTAATTGGTGTTGAGCGATGTTCAATTCGTCAAAGTTGATTTTGTTGATTTTCAGTGGTTTCACTTCTGGAAGATGTCGTTTTTCAGGAAGGTTCAAGCATGGTTTTTGTACAAAAGGTTCTTATATCTGTCGACCAAGTATTTGGAGTGGATTCTCGTGCTTCCAACGAATGAGCTACACCCGGGTTGGAGTTTTAGCAGGGAATTGGTTTTGATCACTGTGTAACTGGTTCCATATATTCTCAGTTGATGGTGATTGGTAGAACTTCAGATATTGTTATGAGCCACAAATTCAAACTCAGTTCGTAGACATTGTATTCCGCAGCGTAGATCAGTGAACACTGGCAAGTTTTCAGGAGAACGGTCAATCTTCTCAATAGTTGGGCTTCGCATATAGCTTCGCTATTGATCGGGCAGGGTAGTAGATCGGAACAGATTTTCACGCCATGATTCAGAATGTTACAGTTTCAATATGTTATCAAGGGTTGATTACATGAAAAGAAAGCTTTCCATTAATGTTTCACATATTTCCAATATTTTTGATTGTGCTTCGTACACAAGATCGTCAGAAATATTATAAATTGATTGATATCTCGATTGAAAGTTTCTTCATCGATTTGGAATTTGTGTATAGTTCTATTGAAATTCCTAATCACTAATGTGTTTACAGATATTTGGTTTTTCAAAAGGTTTTCTAGCTGGTGTTCATCTTGGGTGAGTTTATTAATACAGTTGGTGTAATATTCGCCATCGGATGAGTCTAGATTACCAGTAATGGCTTTCCAGAAGGTGTCTACTCTTTTAATTATATCCTCGTTCGGATCTTTTATAATAATTTTGGGTGTCTGCAAATATTTCTCTATATTTCAAGTCGAGTGAGTCAGATATTTGGGTCTCTAAAATAATGTGTGTTTCCACTTCGGTTTTGAAGAATAATATTCTGGAGTTTGATTGGTAAAAGTGTAGAGTATGCTTTTCAATTCTTTATAAACGAGAAGAGCCCATTTATCGTTTGAAATTTTCAAAGTGCTTCCTTCGTGAAGAAAAAATACTATTGTGTTATTAATGGGTTGAATGGAGTATGGGTAGTGTGTTGTGTATGTTGCTGAAATCAGTGGGATAATCCTGAAAATGAAATCAATTTTCAGTACAAGGTTGTAGTCGGTTAAAATTTACTTTTTTTTTGTTTTGTCTTCCAATTGACTGGAATTGCTGAGTTTTGGTAGATTTCTATAATTTCAAATGAGCCACTGAATTTGTTTTCTAATTTGTTTTTGATTTGGGATTCTTTTATGTTAACATTGTCTTCTACCTTATATTCAGTTATATTTCGTTCAATGTTTTTATCAAATCGAATTTTGGATGTTTATTTTTGATCTTCTGCCCTTTGACGAGCAATTTCATAGTAATACGAAATTTTATTATTCAAATCTCGTATTCATTTGGTTATGACTTCTTTTTGGTTGTGAAGAGTTTCGGGTGATCCACTAGAGTTGTGTCCAAGTAGTAGTTCATAAGGGGTGAATCCGTGGTTTTTGTTTTTGGTATTGTAACAAATTATTGCATATGGTAAAATGTCTAAGGGGTGTTCACCGGGGTTGTCAATTTTATTTGGTCTTGTCATTTATAGAAGGGTAGAGGAACCGTTTGATTACTAGCGGTCCACACTGGAAAATGATTATTTTATGTCATACAATAAACAAATGGTTTTCAATAGGGCGTTGTTGAATTATCAACCGAAATCACAACGAATTCTGAGTGGAGTTCCGTTAGAAGTATATCAGTAGGGTATTCACTACTGATTTATTTACGATTGGGTAAGACTGGGTGAATTTGGTGAGTTCGTCTATTATTGTGAGTATACAGTTTTTGTGGTAATTTCAAGAATGTCTATGTTTATTCTCTCGAATGGTGTTTTTGGAGTTTCAGTAATGACTGAGGGGCTATTTAAGTTTTTTCTGCAGATTATTGCTTTCGCAGTTTCGCAGCAATCATGAAATATTTTCTATCTTTGAGGGTTTTACTTGAAAGAAAATTGATTCTATCGTGAAATTCGGCATATTTCTCGAATGTGTCATCAATGATTTCATGATGGAGATCTTTTAATTTGTTTTGAGTAGTCGGTTTTCGTATAAGTGACTGAAATTTTCGTATTTTTGTAGAATTCGTTCGACGGGGGTTTCTTTGTATTCCGTTGTTTCTTTGTTTTGTGTTTCTGTGTCTTGTGTTTGTTCGTCAGTTGGTTTGTTCGTTTCATTAGTTTCGTTTGAAGCCAGTATTGAAAATTTTCCGTGGATATTTCCACATTCTTTGAAGTGATTGATTTTGGTACGTGATAGGGCATCGGCATTTTTATATATTTTACCAGGTTCATACTCTATTTCTTAATCATACTCTTCTAATTTGAGTCTTCAACTTGCTAGCCTACTACACGGGTCTTTTATTGAAAAAAGCTAAGTGAGGGGTCTATGGTCAGTAATGAGTTTGAACTTTCTTCCGAACAGATATGGTCGAAAGTGTTTCACAGCCCATACAATCGCTAAAAGTTTTCTGTCAATCGTAGAGTACCTACTTTGATTCAGCGTTGCATAGTGTTCTGGAGGTGTATACTATGTGGAGGTCATTTCCTATTGATCCTTGTGAAAGAATAGCTCCTATTGCAAATGCACTAGCATCTGTCGTTGAGAGAGAAGGTTCTTCGGAGTTGGGATAGATCAAGATTAGATTGGAAGTGGGAGCTAATTTTAATTCATTGAATGTTAGGAATCAATCGTTGAAAGGTGAGACCTCGTTAGTCCTTAGCTCGCACAAGTTTCTCAACTTCTGAGAGTAGTCGTTCGTATGGGAGCGACAGCTGATTAACGGAAAAACAGATTTTAAAGCACTTTTTTTACAGATTTCAAACATTCTGAGTCGAATTGGGTATCTTCTTGTAATAGTTTTGTAAGTGGTTTGGAAATTTTGGCAAAATTTGGTATGAAGCCTCGATAACAACCATGTAAGCATAAAGAGGATTTGAATTTTTTTGTATTATTTGGTTGGGGAATTTTTGGATGCATTTCACTTTGGACGGGTTTGGTTTAACATCGTTCTTTATGATTACATGTCCAAGGTAAGCGACTTCTTTCCTTGAAAAATTCCAATTATTCAGGCTGAATTTTCAGTCTTGAGATGTGTTCGTGGATTGTATATAGTAATGTCATCCATGTATACAAGGCAGCGCTCGTTTTGGATGCCAAGAATGATATCAAGTGTGGGTTGATTTTTTATCTCTTGGATTATGTCGATTTCTTCGACAACAATAGTTACAAAAAGGATTTGAAGCCCTATAACTTCTGTTTAATTATCTGCGAGCGCTTGCGACAGCTGGTCGTGCTGTCATTCTCTAAGCCCTAGAGCCTAGAGCTGTATAACTTCTGTTATAGAGCCTCAAATCCTTTTTGTAACTTACATTATATATATACCTTTACACCTTTACAAATAAAATCAAACAAACAATCTAAACTAACAATGCGAGACGCGTATTCACAAAATCTTACAGATACCCTCAAATTCACCAGATTTCCAAAATGCTTAATCAAGGTCTCATTCAACATTCTACATCTCCTTGGTCATCACCTGTTCGGATAGTACCAAAAAAAGCTAGATGCTTCAGGAAAACCCAAATTGCGTGTGGTGATTCACTATCGAAAACTGAACGAACTGTCAATATCCGTTACCCAACATTTCTGACCTGGTAGATCAGCCTGAAGAATGTCAGAATTTTACCTGCCTCGATCTTGCATCAGGATTTCATCAGATCGAAATCGACCTAAAAGAAGTTCCAATAATAGCCTTTTCTGTCGAGAACGGTCACTACGAATCGTCCGCATGACATTCGGTTAAAAGAACGCACCATCCCCATTTCAAAGAGTGATGGAAAACATCATCATTGGCATCCAAAACAAGCGCTGCTTTGTATACATGGATGACATTTATATATACAATTCACGAACACATCTCAAGACTGACGGAAGTGTTCAAGAGATTGAGAAAAGCTAACTTGAAAATTCAGCCTGAATAATGCGAATTTTCAAGAAAAGAAGCCGCTTACCTTGGACATGTAATCATAAAGGGTCTACCTTGGGACAAAATTTAAAATGTTTATTAAAGTTTCAGGGCATACTACGCCACTGGATTCAGAGTGCCTCTAAACAGGTGTTACCAAAATTTCATGGAAAAATATTCATTATTAACAAAGTTATGACAACTCAAAAATTCGAAAACTCACACAGCTAACAGTCACAAAANATCTCAAATATGTCTATAATCTGAATAAAAATTACAAACAAATACTTTGTTTCCAAAATTGAAGTTGTTGTAACTTCGTTGTTAACAAATATTTTTTAATGAAAATTTGACAGTTTTGATTTATAACGACTACGAATCCAGTGGTGTAGTCAAATTTGAAAACAAAAATTGCCTAATAAACTTTTGCCGTTTTTGACAAACAAAAAAAACCATAGAGTGCCTTGGAAATGAAACTAAAATTGTGAAAGTTAGTGTCAAGATACAGTTTTTCATGCTTAATATTTCAAAAAAAAAAATTGAGATTGATTGAAAAATGCACATTCTACAGGGGTGGTTTCATTTTAAATGAGTCACACTGTATATATATTCTCTTTGTTTCGGAAGTTGATTGATTTTTTGTTCATTGATTGATTTTTGTTCTTTCTAAAAAGTTGCAATATTCATCAAATAATTTGTTCACCAAATTCTATATTTTTTAGGTATCCTACATTCAGTCAACTACACGTGAAGGGAAAAAGTGCACTGCTGAAAATGCATTCTTAAGGCCAGTACGAAACAGATCTAACTTGAAAATTCAAACACGATCTCGAGTTTCTAGAGTACTCGTAGATGAAGAAAGTAAAACTGCTTACGGTGTTGAGTATCTCAAAAATGGAGAAGTTCATTACGCTTTTGCTAACAAAGAAGTTATTTTATCCGCTGGCGGTCTACATTCACCACAAATTCTCATGCTATCTGGAATAGGACCCAAACAACATCTAGAACAATTTGGTGAGTAGATGCTTACTGCATTTTCCCTAACCTTCCTATATATTACTAGTTTGGAGCAAGTTACTCTACCGTTATTATTTTGATATAATATACTTCAGATTCATCTTTCAATTACTCCATCATTTCAATATACAAGTCCATATTGCTGAAAACCTCTTTTGTGAAAATGATTTATTGTATATACCTGTAATCAAATATATCCAAGCGATTCTCTGTACAAAGAGTCTGAAATATTTGATATGAGGTAATTAACAATACGAAGGAAAGAAGCAAAATTGGTGATTCCGGATCACAAATATTGAACTAGAAAAAAAAACTTTCCAACAGTGAATAAAACGGTAGGTTAAGAGGTTATCTCTTTCTATGTCCAGAAACCTTCAATATTCTGATATTCCTTCGCCTGATAAAAAAAGTGTAGGGCCTGACGCGAGGAGTCTGGAAACCTAATGCTAGACATGGTGTCAGCCAGCATATGTTGTAGGAAATGATGAATGCCGAATTCACTGGAGTCATTCATCAAAGCAATACCATATTTGTTATAGAGTTTTTAGCTCTCGGCGGACGAATGTTGTTCTATTAAAGAAGGAGAAACTGATATAGAGATTTCCTATTCGGACTTCACAGACTCCATCCAGACTACTGAGTCGAAATGGTTGATTTGATTAATGGAGTCTTCTAAGGAATGCCGCCTTCTTCACTCTATAATCTCAAAATCATGCCGGCTTGCAATACTGGAGCAGAAATTTCAGCCAAACAAATGCAGAAAGCTGTCGTTCCCGGCTCACTACGTCCGCCTAAGGAACATGGTTTTGTACCCAATGATCATTTACACCACGGTAGGAGGATATCAATTGGTAGATAATGCTGTCGTGCCTTCCCTAAAGTTTCGGGGCTTCGAGGATAGGGCCAGACCTGCACCTTAGGAAAAAATAATATGCGGTGTTGCCCTACGTCCCAGGAGATCCGAATTTATTGAAACTACCCATTCTTTACCCTCAGGTTCATAAAACTCAATGAGCCTAATGTAGTTCATCTAGACCATCAGATCAAGTAGATATTTGTGGTGGAGTTTTCAATTCCGGGTGAGACAGATATCGTCTAAAAAGGGGAGGCAAAACGGACAATTGCATCTGCTTGGGACATATGATTCTTGGTGTGGTGAGTGGTCACTGGCTGATAATGCCGGTGCATTTTCCCGAATATGTCGGGGCTTCTGAGACAGGGCCTGACTAGGCTATCTTTTGAAAAACAGTAATAATAATGAACTTCATTGATTAACACACTTCCCAAACAATATACGGATTGGATTTTGTTTAAAACCAAATATCCTCAAGATTTATGTCAGTTTGAAGTTTATTGTGCAAGAAATGATGATGTCGTGAATTCCTAAGAGATCATCTAAAAAATTTCATTTATGTCTAGTTGTTTTTCTGAACTCCTGAATGATCTTGAATTGGTCATCGAATCATTTCCCTAATGTTTTTCAAACAATTTTTTGATCTCAGTCAAATGTGTTTCAGATCATTAATTACCGAACATTACCGATTTTATCTCGATCATGTTATTACAGGTATATAATAATTGCATATAAAAAGGCTAGCGGCGCAACTACGAGTTAGTCTGCGTAGGAAAGGCGAAGGAAGCGAAACTGTCTATTGTGAAATAAAGTAACACTCGTCAATAAAAGTATTTTGATTTGACTTATTGTTTTTATGTGTGATTTGTTAGTATGGAGAAGCGAAAAATCGACAGTGAATGCGGAACGTTCCAAGAAAAATGGAACTTTCAGTATTTTGTGATTGAGTTCAGCCTTGAGCTTGAACCACCGACGAACACGGCGGTCGATTTGAGTCAGTGAACAAAGAACCCACGTAGAAACGACCGGCTATCGACCGACCGAGAGAGAGATAATTAGGGATGAACTGCTTGCCAATCCAATCGGGTCTAGATCCTTCTGGTCGGTAGCAAAAGTTGTTAATCAGAACCAGTTCACTTCGAACTTCACTGTTTAGAAACTCTTTCATCTGGAAAACTGAGTTTATTTGGAATAAACTTCCTGAAAACGTTCTTCAAACGTTCTAAATCCATTTCAATCTCCAGCGATTCGAAACTAATGTGAATTTCTATTTTCGCACAAGCACCGCTCAACGAGCGCCTTAAAGATTTTTTTGTAATGCTTGTGTTTTGTCCTTAAAAAAATTAAGAAAATAATCGAGAAAACTCAAAGATCTCAACTGTCTCAGCCCACCTTTTTTGAAAATTAAAACGCTATATATAAATTCAGGAAGAAGTTGAAAAAAGAAACGAAAACATGATTAAAAATTCACAAAACAGGAACAAACCATTATGGCATGTTGTCAATATAAATAATATCAAAAATGAAATGATATTGTATATAATGATCATGTTTATGAAAGAAAGGTTTCGGCTTTCTACTTCTCCATCTTTATACAAAACATGTGGGAATCTTCCAGAGAAAGACAGCACTGAATTTCAAAATGAACTTACAAAAATGTGTAGTTTGTGCAAATAAGTAAATTTCAGACACAAACTGCACGAAAAAGCCCTCTTGAAACAACTACTTTCATATAAACATTGAATTACACGAAAAAAAAAACTTTCGAAACAAGTAATTTTATATGAACATTGAATTATGCAATAATGATAATAATATAAAATTCGTCAATTACATTGAATTTTTTGAGTTTATACTGATTGCTGGTTCTTTCTCTCTGATTCAGGATATATATACATTTCATTTTATTTTGTAATCGTTGTGAAGGTGTCAAATTTGAGGAATTACATGGCGCCCAAAGAACTTTATTCTATTCACTGGTACTCCAAACATTCGTCATGGAATTGAATCAGATATCATTCACAGGAGTGCTACACATTAGTATATGAGAGAGGTAAAATGTCACTTACATTGAACAGAGTCATCCTAAATTTAAATTAACAATAATTTACTGCATTCAAATTATTTACTCTCAACGAATTGAATAAATGAAATTATACGACGATAATACAATATTTATTCTTGCAAAATATCATTCATAACAAACAAAATAACAAATCTTCTATGACAAATGTTAAAATATGTCCAGTAGTAACCAAGACATTCTCCAACGAATAGGTATTTAGTTGAAGGGGATTGAAAAAACATTGATTTTTTATCTTCCACCACCCTCAAGGACTGATGGAGATCCTTCTCTCCAGAGGCATAAAGTTTAAGATCATCCATATAAAACAGATGGATGACCTTGTGCCTTCCGTTTCCGGGGGTGTCACAGTCATACCCTCGAGTATTTCTGAGCGCAACGGATAATGACTGAGGAAATCACCCTGAAAACAACTTATAACACGAATTCAAGCATGTTATCGGTCTGTGATTCTTAGGAATCGACAAATCTCCGCTTTTGGAGATAAGAACGGTCCACCCCTCGACAAACCAATCCGGAATCGGCTGCTCTCCGTCCAGCCAGAAGTTGAAAACTCTGGCCAGATGGCGGTGTGTACTTGGTAGTTTTTTTCACCAATAATTGAGTGTTCAGCCCATCTGGGCCTGGAGCAGCAAAGTTCTTGGAACCAACAAGAACCCTTCGAACGTCATCCGGGGTTATCGGGTTGTGCAGTTCATTGAGCTCATGCTGTCGAAGCTCTCTGTTGAAAGTTTTGAACTGCACTAGGGCTGAAGTGTCTAAGTTGAGTGGCTGCGAGTGTTCATAGATATCCTTCCAGAAGGATTCCACCTGATCAGCGGTCGGCGGATTATCCACAACACGTGAGGGTTCTTGGAATAAGCGGAAAGGTCTCTCGTGGAACCTAAGGTTTTCCGCGATACTTCTCGCTCGCCTCACTAGTGACTTCTTAGCAGCATTCGTATTCTACCAAGGCAGTGCTGTTTGGTGGTCAGCAGCACGCCTTGACTTAAGGTGTAATGGATACGTCGTAGATTGGCGGCTATTCGCCGCACGTGAAAGGCATATTGGCCGACCTGTAATTCATCACACATTGAATACGAGACACGTGTTGTCTCGCCGACGAGATCCTACCCTCCATCTTGTGTACACGCCGTTCAATCTTCCGAACCGCAAGGCCGGGATTTCGTCCTTCCGATTCGGAAAGCAATTGGACGACGTTATTCACAGCGGTGTTTATTTGCCAGATGTCAGCTTCTTCTGTTAGAACACTATGAACCTCCGCATCCAAACAAGCCAGTTCTTGTGGCTTCAGGGGCCCAATCCTGTGAAGCGCCCTGCGTGTTGTGATTGAGTCCATTGGTGGCATGATGCGAGTCTCCTCCCCAGCCGGGTGGTAGAACTGTCACTTCTACCACTTCGTTAGCAGGCTGAGGAGGAGCTATATAGCCCTGCCGCCGAAGATAGGATACGTAATCCCTAAGATTTTGGGCGGAAAAGGCGGCATGCTCCGGGTGGGTTTCACAACACAGAGCATGCAATCTCGCCATGTACCCTCTTCGCGCAGGTTCACTACTCTTGCAGCAATGCATAAGGCTATCTCTCAGCTCATGCGTCCACTCAAAGCGTCCGTTTTCGTTGCCAGGGTTGTCATCGGTAGGCAAATCATCGTTATGGGCCCCACCACCTTACTTCTGAACCCTCCAAGCGGGTCGATTGTGGGGGCCTCTTCCTCGATCATTGAGAACCAAATGTTGGGTTCGCCGGGTGGTTAGCCCTGTGGACCCACGGCCGGCACCGGAGGGAGAATAGAGTTCTCCTTTCCGGGTGTGCCTTATCATTATCATTATCATTAGTATCAGTAAAACCGACTTGGCTTTTTAGCGGGGTTATTCGTGATATTCTTTAGTTTACTTCGAGAGCGCGTTGAATAAACGGCTATACAACATGTAAGCTAGTTGTTCGGGAATCGTGAAGCGTCCCATATTGTCAAAATTAAATATGAATGGAAAAATAATTGTTATGAATGTACATAATTCTTTAAGAATACAATATCCGCCCGAAATAAAAAGTAAGGAGGAAGTAGTGCAAAAATGCGCGAGTATAACCGGTGTCAATGAGGCGACAATTTTTAGAATTCTCAAGGAACTCATGGAAAACAACTTTTTCGGGCCGAAAGTATCCACTGGTAGAAAATGTTTGGTTATCGATGAAGAAGTGAAGAATTCTAGTAGGAGACCAGTACACTCTTTTTACATAAAAAACGAAATACCTACATTAAATAAAGTTTTGTCAGTTATTCGTGAAGACAGTTTTTTTCCTGATATAAGAAGANAAATTGAGTAAGAACGTTACACAATATAATATATGAAAGAGATATGATATAAAATTTCATTTACATTCTCAATGGCAGACTTCGAAGTTTTGGAATGAGACACTAGTCATAACAACTTTATGTCACGGCTGAGACAAATTTATTTATGTCACGATGACATTCATATGTTTATTTGATTTTATCACAACTATATGAAACTTGTTTGAATCGGAAGGGGGTTATTTTCAGTTTTGCACAATTTTTGTTTGAAGATGGAGAAGTGGAAGCCTGGAAATAAATCCCAAGAGAAAGTTTGATCTTCCTCTTGAAGAATATCACTTGATGATCGAAACACGTGTCGAGGTGTTGGGAAAACACTTCAGTAATATTCATTACTACACCAAAGGTTCCAAACAGTGCATCACAAGTCATCAGATAACAACAATCAACGGTGAAACGGAAACTTCACATTCTTGTTTTGACTTTAGCAAAAGGCATTTGAATTTACCAAGCACTTGAAACAAATTGAATCCCTTCAATATTAGCAATTGCCCAAATTCTCTAACAAATATTGATTTATTTGAGAATTAGAATGCATTTTTCTGTTCGGATTTCAATTTTCAATACGAATAGGAATTATATTGTTGAAATTTTACTCTACAAAGAAATATAATAGAGAAATGTGCCTCATTGATTACTCTTGTTCATATGACGACCTATTTATTTTATTTAGTGTAAATTCATATCAAGTATAGGATAGAGAAAATAACTTTAGTGTAATTTCTAGAAATTAGACAAAAAGTGGAAGTTAGACATAAGTTACTTTCTCTATCCTATATTTTATTGATTTGTAATTCTGCATGGTTGCCAAAAATAGTGTCCGCAACACATCTGAACTTGTTACTTTTTGTCATCATTCAAGTACTTGAACAGTGTGAAATCCAGTAGAAAGAATTGGCATGAAATTGATATGAAGAAAACACTTTTTACACAACCAGAACTAGATATCTTTTCTCCTCGTTTTTCCAGAAATAGTGTTCTAGTTATGGTTGTGGGAATAGTGCATAAAGGAAATATATCTATTAGAAAAAGTTGATTCATCATGTGAAAAGTATGTCTATTACCATTTTTTATTTATTCAAATCATTTAAATAAGCTGATATCTGTGACAAAAAATCAGGAAATGGCTTCGAAACGCCTCAAGTTTAGTGTCAGATATGTACGAAATGTTTTCATTTATTGGAAGATAATAATCTAAACAATAATTTTCCAGGTGGACTTGAAGTACTAACCTATATAAGAACTAATATTTCATCTGAGCCAGATCCATCGTATCCCGATGTGGAATTGTTTATTGCCTCAGAGTTGTTTGAATTACATGTCGAACAAAAATTAAAAACAATGAAATTCTTGAAATGGAGATAGAAAATGGAAAAAGTTGTAAGCAGTAAACTAGACATCAACGACTACTTCACAAACATCGGAAAGGAATTATCAGAAAAAATCAAGATCAAAGCCAGCTTTACACCCAACAAACCTCGAACCTGTAGAATAAACTAATTTTACTGAAAAAAGATTACTGAAAAGGGAACAATCAGATGCTGAAAAAAAAATTAGGAACCTGGAAAGGAGTAGCATTCAAAACGGCAATTGTGAAGCCTCTTTTTAAAACAGGATCGAAACGAAAAGTTCCTAATTATAGACCAATTCCACTAATCTCGAATCTATCAAAAATCAATGAGAAACTTTCGAAACAGAGAATCATCACATTTCTGATAAAATATGAAATAATGTCAGATAACTAGTTCGGGTTCAGGAAAAACATGTCGCCAAAAAATGCTATTAACCTGTTAAAAACTCAAACGAGTCAAGTTGTAGATACTAAACCTGCTTCATGCATCCTAGTTGATCTTAAAATGGTTTCAGAGGCACTGATTTCCAGTTATTCAGGAGTTACCTAGGTAACTGTGAAAAATGTGCCAAAATCAAAGACTGCCCCAATAATTTGATTTAGTGTCCCACAAGGTACCGACCTTAGACTTATACCTACTCTTCAACATATATTTGAACGACTTATTCAAATTGCGTGTAGAAAGAAATGTTATGAGCTATGCTGATAACAGAGCAGTATTCTACAAAGGCAAAACTTGAGGATCGAAAACTGTAGCAGAACGGGACTTCAGAACTATTCTTGAATGGTTTGACTGGCAACCACTAACAGAAAATACATACAAATCCCTCCACTTCTCACTACAAAAATTCGACTCATTTTGACACCTAGGTCAAACCTAGATTTTAACTTAAAATGGAACGTACAAATACTAGAGGTAGTAGATACGTATGAAATTTCACTTCATTCCTTTTCTTGTTTGTTTTAGAAAGTTAGAACTTTTTTTTTCTCAAAACTTCCATTGATACAAACTGTAACCATCTCCGCCGTTAGCCAGTTGATTCGCTGGGTCGGTGAACAGGGTAACCTCTTGAGATGGGTAGCTTCTGAGTGTAGTCATAATGTGAACTTAAACTGATTCAGATCTGCAACTTCTGATGTAGTCATTCCGGGTGTTCCGCAGTGGTCACACCTGGGTCCGATGTTGTTTCTGGTCTAAAGAAATAAATTGCTTTGAATACTCAAACTGAATCGTATGGGCTGAAGACGGTGACATTCACACGAATGTGATATAAGCGGATTATACACGCACAATATTAAGGGAGGTGCAATGAAATTGAATATGTGTTTCTGATATTGAAATATTGGGCAATATTTACTGAACGAAATGAAATCGTTTTAAAATAGGTAGTGCAATCTGGAAATTATTGTGCAGGGTGGGGGCAATATTGTATAATATCTCGTTAACTGATGTCGAGAAGTGGAGAACGTATCGGCTGACGCATGAAAAATTAAATGGTTCATTTTGGGATGTATTGAAGTTTACTACGACTTTCGGATTTCGGCAAATATACAAATTGCATTAGATAACGAGATAAATATTACGTGCAGATTGATAAATGGCGCGAAAAATTGTGATTAATTGAAAGTATTTCCATAGTCGAGACTTACTAGAATAAAAACCGGAGGAACTGATAATGCGGAGAAAATTATACGTGGGTGCTCGTTATTACACAATCGTTATTACACATATCCTTTCTACACGTTTCAGTTCAGTATGCAATTCCAACTATTGTACAAGAGCCAAATCGATCCCTCTACGAAACCCTTCTTCACTCGGAAGGATCGATTGCAGCTTGAAAAATGGTTCTTATGCAGAAGAACATGTTCTTCCTTACGAATCAGTAGAGAGTTGTCCTGAAATTTTTGAGAAGAAAATTGGATTAGATAATTTAGGAAACGCTTGCTACATAAATAGCATTTTACAAGTGTTGTTCATGACGAAAAATTTCAAGAACGAGGTTTTAATAATGAACGAAAACAAGAATGTTTCCTACTTATTCACCAAACTCAAACACATGTTCATGCAGCTGCAGTTTCGTAAGAATGTATCATCTTTCCCTCCAACCGACTTCCTGGAGTCTTTGAAGTCCACTAGATACTTATTAGGACAACAAGAGGATTGCTCTAAATTCTTGGGGTTCTTGTTGAATACTCTTCATAGGCAAAACAATAGCAGAATCAATACTCCTGACTGTAGTACTATTTTGATCATTCCCATATTGATTTCAATTTAAGAGCCACCGGTAGACAGCAATTTCAGCCCACTGGGCATCGTCAGTATCGGTCAGGCGGTCCTCACATGGATTATTGATTGAATGTGAGGTAATGTAAGGTAAAAATTCTGTTGAANACTGATTGCAGTAATCGTCTATCCAATTGACTGAAACATTGATTTGGGATCATTTACCTCTAGACTGAAAAACCATTCAATTTTCCCTACATTCCTCAAATTTCAAAATGGTTTCATTCTATGGAAAGTTGAAAAAAAAAAATTAATGGCCAAACCTAGACTTTGTTCAATATACATAGTCACTTGAGGTTTACATGTGGTAATCGCATTTCAATATTCAGCACCTAGAACTTTTTCTACTTGGTATCATTCTAATAAATATTTTTAGGTGATGTCCCAAACACAGCTGAATCAATAAAAGTGATAAAAATATCAAAACTGCACGCTATCGTCTCTTATTCCCTACTCTCGCATGATCTGTCTGTCTGTCTGTTTTTCCGTTAATCAGCTGTTTTTCCGTTAATCAGCTGATATTAATACATATGCGAAATAGGACAGAAAAGAGGGTAAAATTGTCCAATACACGTATGACCAAGAGGGGAAAATTTTGTTATCTACGCTTTTAGTGTGTATCGAAATGAGTATTTCAATCCAACTTCTCAAAACTATTTGAAAGAATGTGTGATTCTAACTTACCTGCATACTTTTTGTTATGTAATTCACATTAAAATTTCGCATTCGATTATTGGTTGACGAAAGTTTGAATAACCACGCGGCTTACTACTGGTTTGGGTTAGGAAGGTTAGTAAAAACGCATACTCAAATTACGAGGCTGGATAACTGATGCCCAAAACTCCATGTTAACTGAAAAAAATTGGTTTGATCAAATATCTTCTGTCATCAGTTGAATGATCATCCACGTCATCTAGAACTGGATTCGTGTAGAAAAAAATTTGTTATATATACGTGGGTTTAGATAAATTGAAAAAATAACTTCGATTCATTCTGACTAGCAGTGATGTACAATACGATGAAAGAAGTTGTGAACGTGAATACCGCAACAACATTTTACGATAAATTCAGTTTCTATTCATCTAGATAAAAATTTGCTTTCATTATACAGGTTTTTCCTATGTTGGTTCATCCAAAATCCAAAGGACACATGGAATTGAAATCAACGGATCCTTTAGATTCACCCAAATTCTTTGCAAACTATCTATCGGATCCCGAAAATCATGATGTCAAGACTTTCATAGCAGCAATAAGAGAAATTCAAAGGATCAACGATAGTCCATCGATGCAAAGATACGGAGCCAAACTAGTTGACACTAAAATACCAGGTGAGTGTATGGAATATTAAATACACAAAACTGATCAGTTCATTTTTCTGACTAACGATTAATTCAATTCTATGCTGTTGGTATTATTGGCAATAATTCGGGACAATCTTTCAATAATATTTACTACTATACCAAAAATAGTTTTATGGGTGATATCTGCAAATTACAATACAATATTGAGATANGCCATTAACCATCGGCCATTGCTATTGGCTGATTCGATCTGTGTTTTCTTCAAACTTTTAAACTGTTTGAAGGTTATAATGAATATATTCCAGATCGATTTATTTGTCTCTATTTTGTCTCTGAAGCTTTTCAACTTGTTAATATGGCTATGCAGAATGACATGAAAGTAAGTAATTGTAGTACCAAATTATTTTGTGTGACCAAAATTAATGAAATACCAAGTTACAAAACTAACAGTATAGTCTGTTAACTAGTTCAGTGATCCAATTATTTTTTCTCAGAAAAGTTTGGTTGGGTATCATGATCAATTTTTTCTTTATAAAACAATTGTTTCCTTTCCGACGTTTCGAATTTCATTAAATTTATCTTCAGGACTCGAAAAGTAAAAAGTAGTTTCTTCGTGTTGATAATATTACTATTTTAAAAACCATTAGACATATTAAATACATATTAAAAAACAACCACCAACTTTCCGAGATAACACCAACACCAAACGACATGAAACAAACGAATATCAAATAACTTTGGTTACTGTAAAAAGTGGGACTTTGATGGTGTCACAGTGCCGCAATCAAGAACCACGATATGTGCTAAAGGTTCGTAGTTTCATCACATTGATACCTTACTTTCAATCTTCCCAATTATAATCAAAATCAAACCAAAACAGTCATTGAAAAAAACGTATGTAGGTGAGTGCAATATGCGTTAAATTTAGTTGATTAGCATTTGATTTGGACTCAACTGATGTTAAATATATTTCAAATACCTTCAGAAAACATGTGGGTGAGAGAATATATCTATTCAATATTTCAAGAAAAGAAATAACTTTCAGACATACATAGAAATCGAAAAACTTTTAACTAAGGTGAACGAGTTATACTTTTAATGAATATTTCAAGGATGCAAAGTGAACTTATGAAAGGTTTTTCGGATAATGAACAATATTTGTCTGTTTTTCAGTCCACACCCAATCCATTCCCTTCTCTTTTATTTGAATTTTTCTACATGATTGCTCGGCAGATATTTTTCATATTAAAAATGCCTCCTGCGACAATTCGCTGTCTTTGAATTCAAAAGCTAGTATCACAATTTGCACTGTAAACAGAAAACATTAAGCATCCCCTTATATTACATATAATATCAAATTGATGATGAAAACCCGCGATAGAGCTCATGCCAAATATCTTAATGAAAAGACAGCAGCGCTAGACAGTAATATTTAATTTTACGCAGTGACGCAGTAAAACGTAAAAAAACAGCATATATACGATTTGTTTTGAACAAAAATGAAAACAATTCAAAAATGACATGGAGAAATCTTGCAGATTGGGGTGTTACTACAAAATCATCCTCGCAAACCAATAGCCTGCCAATTGAACTACGTAGACCTGAAGAAATCAATGACTATTTTTTAAACGTNATTCAATGTATGGTAGTGCAATGAAATTGTTAAATTGACCAAAATAATGTTAAGAATATTAAGAATTATTAGCAACTACATAATGTATTATTTTTTTCTCTTGTCTATCATTGTTATGATAGTAAATGAGTTTGTTTATAATTATTTTCTTATACTCACTGTATAATTTTTGGGAGGAGTTGAAGGTAGCCTTTGGCTAACCCTTTTCCTTTTATGTATAAATGTATTTTCATGCATAATAAACGATATTATTATTATTATTATGAAGAGTAGTATGCCAAATAATGTAAAACAAGAAAGTACAGAAACTAAATTAATATACAAAGCAATATATTATAATCAATATACACCAACAAATGTCATTATGTATCTGATTGACCATTTGAAATACCTGATATCTACTTAGGAAATGTCTTTATTGCATATGTTTAATGGAAATGACAATGAAATAAATCATTTATTATAATGATCATTATCAATCATCTCTCTAGAAATTATACTGAATCTTTCAATAACACTCCCACTATTGATGAAAAATTGGAAAACGTTTATTATGAGTTCGGAACATAAATCGACTTAATTTTGGTTATCTTTGATGAAACTCAAAGTGAAATTCATTTGAAATAAATTCTACCCTACGCAGTATGGCAAATTTCTGCTAAGGATTTGATGGTTATATTGCTTGAAAAATATGTGTTGGGCCCATCAACTATGACACCAGTAGGCTACTGTGAGACAGACTTGATACGCGAGCAGCCGAATTATGTATATTACGTTATGATACGTATTCTACGCATTACGAATATGATGGAGTACAATACCGTATTGTATGATACATGTGAAAAAGATACGTTACGAATATGATCGGTTAACGTTTCTATAAGTACGTTATGAATTTATACTTCATGATAAAGTACGTTCTGTTGTTTTACGTTATGATGAATTACGATTATGAAGGCTTAGTTTCTCTGCATTACGTATTCTGTATATTACGACTATGTCTTGTAGCGTTATAATGCATTGCAATTTCTCTCCTTCGATGTTATGATGGAGTATATTGAGATGAATTAGATGGACCCATGATTATGATGATAACAGTTTATTTGACCCTGCTACCTTATCACCTTCGTTCTCTGCTAGCGTATCTTACTTCAACATTTTATCCAACCTCTGCTTATCTAAATTTCGAATAACTCCAATTCATCCTCTAACAGGTTAGGTTACATCGGATATATCCAAATCTGCAATGTTTCAGTACAGATTCGTGTAAACAAAATTCGGTGGACATCTAAAGTCTTCAAAAGTTTCTTCATTTTCTGTAATTGGTTAACCGACACCAACCCCATGAACAATACGTACCAATAGAATCAATAAGTTTTTTCGATACGATTCTGTCGACTTCATGGAAAAGCTAAATCGTACACGGTTGTGGCATTCTTTAGAAATTGAAACTTTGGGACAATTTCCAGATATGTGTATGGATTCGGACATTTTGCAACTCATTGATTTACGAAAATTCCAGAAACTTCGAACACAGCGGGATTGGCCTGAATCCGACTTGATTCTATATCGTGCCCAGATAAACGTGATTATGCACGTGGAAGTACACAAAATGTATACTTTAGCTTCTCAGTATCTTCGAATTGGGGGCTTCAAATGAAGCGAACATTTAACATCGTTGAATTTTCACGTCTCGTGTACAAGAGTGTATTCATCAGGTACACTCCTGTATAAGAAGTACTTCAAGTAACTACCGATATGTGCTGCCACATACAAAAATTTGACACATTCAAAACTTTCCAAATTGATGACCCGTGTACAATGAGGAAAAATAAGTAATATACTATCGATTATTGAAACACTTCAATGGCTTTTAATGTGAACCCCAAGTTTCATGAGTCACATCAATCAATTGTACCTCATGGCTGCACTGCTGATGATGACGACTGTCTTTGACATTCCACTACGAAGCTCACCCAATAACGACTGAAAACATCACCCCAATTCACCTCCACCCCCAAGGTAACCGATAATACTCCAACTATGACTTCTTTCTCTCCAATAAAAGCGTCAGCCAGCCGATGACACCAAATGCATATCCTCAACACCTCCGACCATGTTGCCGCGACCATGCTACAATCACTTTCGGTACAATAACAACTTTTTTTTTCTCGATATCACGTGGGATCTTGGATAACCGTGAAGCTACTTTTTCATTCTCCTTATTCGGTTGACCAGAAATCGTATAATGTTTCCAGGCCAGCATGAAATCATACAGAATTACTTAGGCATCCTGAAATCGTACGGGGTTTCTAAGCCAGACAGAAATATTATGAAGTTTCTAGGCCAGCCAAAATAGTATGTGAACATAAACATGTGTGGTGTTTTGTTTGCTATTGCGGCATACACTTACTAAGATGCGGTAATATTCGAAGTGATCCCTTTGCTGCTTAGTATGCCACACATGAACCACGACCAGTATCCCCAAAATCAACCAGTAATTTGTTGAATACCGGTTTATTCGAGTTCTTTTTAATTTTCAGCTTAGTTCCATGACTTTGAACGGATACAATTATAAAACGAATAACACGAATGCAGATGACTTGTCTTCAAAGCATGTTTCGTTTTCAGGTTGTGAAGACTATCAGTTCGATAGCGACGAGTATTGGGAATGTTATCTGAGAACTATCATCGCAAGTGTTTATCATTATGTTGGTGCTTGTAAGATGGGACCTGAAAATAAAGGAGATGCTGTTGTAGATTCCTATTTGAGAGTTCACGGCCTGAAACAATTACGTGTGGTAGATACAAGTGTTATACCACTTCCTTTAACGGCTCATGCTGCTGCTCCGATATATGCAATTGCAGAGAAAGCTGCAGATGTAATCAAAAATGATTGGTTTCAATGATCAGTTATTCAAATTTCAATTGAAATTTCAGTTTCAATTCATCAAATAAATATTCTTTGTCATCAGTGCTTTCAATACTTTTCTCTACTCAGTTTGTATTCCAAACATTCGTTATGGAATAAAATCAGATATCATTCACAGGAGTTCTACTTTAAATGAATGGTAACAACTGGTAACACCGTCATCCTCACTGAAGGACATCGATGTTTCGCCGTAAGACACATGCCTTAAGGCTCTTCAATATCAAATTGGATAACATTATAGAAAATAAATACGATTCATTCATGGATTACGAGTAACTGCTGGAGTCAGGTTTCTCCTTTATCGTAGGAACGTAATTAAGGAATATGAATAATCGGATTTATGATAAAAGGTTACACCAAAATATCTGTTTGCACATATTGCCACAAAAGAGCACTTCAATCCATATTGGAATTGTATGAATTGCCTTGGTTTCGCTTGTCAGAAAGGCTTCTTGTTGCGTATTCATTTCAACTGTGAGGTGTTGGATCTCCTCTAGGTTCATCTTGGTAAGTTTCAGTTCAAATGGTCTCGTAAATAGGTAAGAAATCTTCAATGATGAAAGTTTATCATTATATGGGTAAATTTTTCAATGGCAAAGAGAAAAAACATTCATCTGGGATTATAATAATGGACATTCACTGCAGTGCAACCTGTGACTTTGATTCTTCATATAATTTATTAATTCATTAATTATTTAATTCTTCATATACAGTGTCACCATTAAAGTGCGCACCATATGGGAAACTTTTTTTTCGAAAAGT